CTCAGGTTTGCTGCATTGCAGTCACACCTTCGAGCTTGAAGCTACGTTTCTCATCAAGCGGTGTCCATCCTCGCCACCGATGGAAGCGCAAAAAATGAGTCGCTTTAGATACTATAAACTCCAGGATGCAACGTGTTATCCTTGAGGGACTTAGCTTTCGGTGACCTGATGTCTTGCAAGAAATCAACTAATTGCGTGAAAGTAAGAAGGGGTTCGTTTGCACCGGCTCAAATTAAATGCTCTGCAGCAACCAGTCCCTAGCTTGCTGCCACATCAGCGCGAAATGAGCTAGACTAGGTCCGGCAGTGCCCGTTTCGAAAATCATGCGGTGGATAATATACGAGGAGGGGAGGAGACCCAAACCTTATCGTTTGGTGAAGGGAGGGCAACGTTGATTCAAAATATGGACGATAAAAGGACGCACAGGGGGAAGAGAGATTGAAGGTCGCCGAGTCGACCGGCGAAATGGTTGGACGGAACGGCGGATTGGACGGGCGGAACGGCGGAATGGAAGGGCGGCCCCGGTTGGGACGTCCAAAGCGAGAACGGGCAGAAGCAGGGGCTCCGGAACAGGACTTTCACAGGCTAGACGAGTCATCCCTCTTAGGGAGACGGAGCGCGCAGGGCGGAACGGAGAAGTGGAAAGACAGGAAACGGAAACCGACGGTGCCCAGCAACAGGTTACGGACAGAACAATCAACGAACGGAACGGAAAGCAAGCTAACCAGCTTTTAGAGGATCGTGCCGGATGGATTAGATTCAAATTGCAGCCGACGAACGGGACAAATGGCCGACAGTCGCCGTCGCCGAAAGAAAGTGGCGTGCCATGTGGCACCGTTCGACTTTTAAATAAGTGGTGCCATAAGATCGGCACACATTTTTCCGTTCTTGAAAGGAAAGCATACGACCGGCTTGTGGCCGAAGCGAGACAGATTTGCATGCTATGATTCGGGGTCGTCAAGACAGAGAATGCCTTGAAACATACCAGTCCGCGCAATGATTTGGGCTTCCTTCATGACGTGGTGCCATTCTTGCGCCAAAGAGGGTGGCTCAGGGCGACTTATTCACCCGCTAATGGCTGATTTCAGGCCAGGCTTTACGGGCGTCCCTGCCACCTACTGAGCACTACCGAGTACGTACCAAGACCCTCAAGTGAACGGACGTTGCTGCAGAGATAATACACTTGCTAACCCTTCAGTCCCCAGATTATCAAGTCCCCTTGCAAACACTGTGACTTGGAACTCTCCTGCTAGCACCAAAAAAAAACTTTATGTCCTGGTATTTGATACGAAGCTGAAAAGCATCACAAAGAGGTTCTAGTAGACGTTTAGAACAACAAAGAAGCAACAGGAAAGAATGGGCGGAATCGCACGCTGCAAAAGAAGGGTCAGATTTGTGTGGCACGGTGTACGAAGAAAGGGCAGGGGACAGGACGGACAACTGTGTCTTCTTGAACAAAGCACCGGCCAAGTCATACTTGCTCGTGACGGGATTGATTCGGGGTTTAAAGTTGCCTACAAAGCTGGCGCAAGCGACTGCGCCTTTGAAGTAGTGTCGACTTTAAGTGCTGATGAGCGCGTCATGCCAGCCTCAGGGGCCAAGTGGTTCAGAGTGACAACATGGAAAAGGCTAAGGTGGCTTCGAAGCCTCCATTAGCATGGTGAGACACTCGCATGGCCCACAAGAGGAGCAGTCGTCACTGCCAGGATTTGAATATAGAAGTCAGAATCAGGCCTTGTTGTTCTGTGTAGTCCAATAGCTGCTGATGAGGGAAGCAGCGATGAAATAGGCAATTAACCTTGCCGCGCAGCAGAAGTCAGACGCAGCGTCCCGGCAACGCATAAGAACAGATAAAAAAAGATGGTGGCGCCGCAGTATTCATTTCGATCAGGTGCGTCCGCAGCGCTTCTAAAAAATGCAAGCGGAATGCTTATTGTGGGCGGGAAACAGTGTTCCTTTTGCTAAGCTTGTTGGACACAAAACGCAATGTGGGCGAGGAGTTCCGGCTCAGATCGTAAAGGTAGCAACGTGGAAGCTTCTGGCAGGCGCACCAAAACTTTGTGCCGCATAGCCGCTGTATAATGACGGTTTGCACGCGTGGGGAATCTAGCATTTTGGGCAAAAACACGACCTCGAGAACTGGAAGAGCTTTGATAGCCGCAAGTAAAAGGGAGTGTACAGGCGCAGGACCAGATTGAAGAAGGTCACACTTGCGAAACGAGCGACTCGCAAGGGGAACTGCGTAGCAGTGCTGCCTAACAAAAAAACGAGCGACTCGCAAGGCCAACCATGTCGATGCCAAGCGGCCTGATCCAGGAAGTGGACGAAAGCAAGTTCTAAAGTTCGTTTTCACCTAGAGAACCTGATCAAAAAATGAACGGTGCGGTGGGGCCTTCGAGGATTCACATGTACTTTCACCGGATTTTCGAACAAACTTTTATCGCTTCGAGGACGGTTGGCTCGAGGTTCAAAGAGACGATATGCATGATGCAACTAAAGCACTATCGTTGCACGAACATCCTTGCCGAGGCCGTATTGAACTCCCGTTCCGGGCGGTGGAGACGGTTCGATTTCAAACGGAGTTGCATGGAAGAACTCGGAAGTAAAGCTCTTTGATGCCGTCTTCAGTAATGTCAGCAGTCAAGCAGGGGGATACGTTTGACGATTGCATCTGAGCAAGATTGTCACAAATTCAAACTGGACTCAAAAGATTTAGGACCAAGTGACCAACACTTGAGACAACCCGACAGCACTCAGACAAACCGCTTCACAAGCTGCCTTGCAGATTGACACTTTGGCAGCGACTAGTCCTTCTGAAAGCAAGGCATCCCTAAAAGAGTTGCCGGATGTCCTTAGCACCGTGACGGCACCTCGAGCGACGCCCAACAATTCTGTTTTTGAAGACAGCCCTTGGTGCCCAACAAAAGAACTCTATTGGACTCCGATGATAAGAGGATGGTGGAGGTAGGCTCTGAGAATGACCGATCAGGTGGATTGTCAAAGGATCGTTAAGCCCGGCGGCCACCATCCAGAATTTTCAACTGTACCCGAGCGGACGACCAGGGTTGAATGGACGGAAGGATGCACAAACCAACGGAGAGCAATTTTAGCAACTAAGGACGGATCAGCGAATAACCAACGGGCGCAGACGGGCCTACCGGTGCAATACTGCTTGGTAATTTTCAAGCCTACTAATTCAGCAATGGACGGAAGAGGCCGCTGGCTTAGAGTCAGGGTCTACGGCTCCGAGTCAAGAGACGGTGGGTGGCACGACACGTAGCACCAATCCCAGCTTGACATCGTCCCTGCCACAGAATTCTCATACCTTTTTGCACGCAACCCGTTTTTCCAGCTAAGATTTGACGCTCGCTACTCAAGTACTAACAACATCTTGTTTTACCCCGGAATCGTTGCTGGGCCTATTAGCGTTAACTATCCACCTGACTATCCACCCGACTATAGGAGCATGTCCTTAGCTGTGGTATACTGCTAAGAGTCCCCTGCTTGATAGTCTGACAAGTCAAGTTTTTCAGCAGTATCAAAGTATCAAGCAAGACGAGCGCTGCGCTCTCCGATTCAAACCGCCGGCATGCCTCTGTCCAGCTGTCAACAGGCGGACCGCAGAACCACGAAATGGCTGGGGGACGACCCGGAATCGCAGCGCTGCCGTTCAGATTTTGACGTCAAAAAATGAACGCTCTCGATCTTTCGTTTGTGTCGGGTTAGGCAAGGTTTCTTTGAACCCCAGTATCGGAACCGGTCCTGCCAAAGTTTGCAACCCCGAAACCCCCTGTCTAAACTTTGCAGACTGGAGTCCTTATGTTGAAATCGGACGGTAGTGCTGCGATTTCGACCATCGCGAAGTTCTGCGGCCCGCCTGTCAAGCTGTAAAACACTCATCAACCTGATGACTCGGACCCGATTGACCAATTGCCCGACAGAGAATAGCAACGACACAGCGGGATAAACAACCGGGAACGGACCGGTATGTCTATGCACTGACGAGGAGAACGTTTTTAAATCTGCTCGAGCGCATTAGCGGGGCTTTTACCCTTGCTTAGGAAACGGAGTCAATCGGAATTGACGCGGTTCGGCCGGGTCTGAACCTCATGGACAAGCTGAATTGGCCCTGTGGAAAGACCATGTCGAACACGAGTCTTCTTGACCGCGACTAAGCCGACAAGCTGTCTTAGTTTCAGAACGAGTTTGGCAGCAAATGTTTTGTTTTATCGAAGGACCGTTTTGAGCAAAGATGACGAACATCAGCACGGAAGCTCAAGCCTGTAAGGCTTTCTCAATTCTGAATGTTTCGAAATTCAGCTCTTGACGCTTGACCAGCGGATGCTATCAAACGCAACCTGTGACCTACCAACGGAATACGCAGTTAAAGAATCCCGGAGCTTAACGGTTACTGGCAGGATCATGGAAAACGTCACGTGTTCAGCATTGCAGGACACACTCAGAATGTCAATTATTTCCAGCAGATAGGCGAACAATGTTCCAACACCCGATCTTGCTTGAGCCAAACTGGAAGTTGTACGCGAGTCGATCAACTAAGCAGATCTCGAGCACCTCAAAAAGGGCCTCGATGATATCCGAGATCCGCCCCCTGTCAACAATCACTAAAGCGTAGTGCTAAAGGAAAACGAAAGAAGGGCACAGCTTTATGCAGAACTGGGCTCGGAAGAGAAGCATCATTGAAGGTTCCGGCCTTGATTCACTGGTCGATCAGCAGCAAGAAAAGTGATGGTCAAGTCACAATCTTAACCAGATTCTCTTTGAATTTTCCTGTTGAGCCGAGGGAGAAGTCACATTGAGGGAGAAGTAACTCTGAGAATTCAAAATAGGCTTGCGCTTTGCCGGATCATGTGTAGATGCGTCCTAGCCAAGGCGACCAGATTGTGGTGCCAGGAATATGATTTTTTGCAAAGGCTCGGTCCCCTCATCATAGACGATTTGGCATCTCGAGAGACCAGCAAATCCTTATTGAAGTACACAACCTCAAATCATTCGCTGCCTTCAAAGTTGCTTCTGTGGCTCTATGGACCCGCGATCCCCGACAACTGTTGCCAACGCAGCGTCGCATGCTCTCATTGCCAATTTTCAAATCAATGAAAAGCAGCAAAAGTGGATACAACATTGACCTCGTTTCAATCAACCTGGTCTTAACTGTTCTGGCCAGGCAAAGTAACGACAGTGAAATTCAAGTATGACCGAGGTGTCGGCGAACGATACGAACAAGCTGATCCTTTGCAAAATCTTCAACCTTCAACCTTTTCAATGTCACATCAATCTCGCTACATGCCCCTGGTTCAACAGGAAGCAATTGGCATTGTGGGAGCACTAAAGCAGACCTTATCACCTTAATTGCCGCCCCCACAATGACCAACACCACCAGCTGCCGCCACAGCTGTGACCGCGCCCTTGCCCGGACGCTCCCCCAGGCTCGCAACGCATGCGCATGCACACCTTCCAAGCGCTCCGGCTTCCCAGCCTAGCCCAACCGCCCATGCCGCATCCGCCAACTTCCATCGCTGGCCCCTCCGCTTCCTGCTAACTTTGCATCTCGACAGATGACGTCAGTATAAATCCCAACGGCCCCGAGCTGCCCCCATGCGTGCGCCCAGCCTTGCCCTGCGTCATCCCGATTATCCTGCATCAGCTCCTCGCCCGCTGTACTGGTGTCACGTAACCTTTGCATCGTGGCAGCTTCTCGAAGCTGGCATCAGTACGAATACGTTGAATTTACCCGCTTCCCCGCTGCCCCCCTGATCCCCACTGCCTTTAAAAGGGTCCTCGCAACCCGGGTACATAAGCAGCCGGCCACGCAGCTGCAGCACAAATCTATCGCCTTTTGTGCACTGGACCAGTGAGACGGTCCCCGATGGATTGGTCCATAAAAAGGTGATGGGTGTGCTGAGAGTGCAGGAATCTCAATTCAAAACCACTGGAGGCCGTCACCAATCATTTACATAGCGCGACTTCTTGTGGTCCACTTCAAGTGCAGCGCTACTCAGCAGATACTGTTTGCAAGTCAAGCGCGCCCACCTCCAGCAAGGCGGCGACACTCAACAACTCCACTTGGAATTGGCACTGGAACATATAAAAGGCTCGATGATACAGCAGCATGGGAAGGGAAGCTGTTTGAGTCGATCTTCATGACCAGAACATAAGCTTCCACCCTGAAAATATGCCTCAATCGTCACAGGTCATATATGTAAGGTAGGTCAAGAGAGCCTAGGTTCAGAATCCAGATGGAGCTTCCAGATTCCTTTTAATACATCCACGGAAGGACCGACTGAAGTGCCTGCACAAATGTGCGCCTACATGCACGAAGTCACGGCTGCATTCATCCGCTCAATCTGCTTGGAAAGCTTCTTCTTGTTTTTCTTCGAATGGCAGAAAGATATTGGAGACTAGCATGCATCATGTGTCTCTCCTGCTGAGCTGACGGAGCCTGCATGCCAGCTAGCTAGAGCAGATCCGGAACAGTCCTATAGCAATGTCAGAAGAGAGAAAATCAACAGTGGTTCCTCACCGCCAGCTTGTCTTTCTGCAGTAGGGTTTCTTGCTTCCGGTCCGCCCTAGTCTCAAAAGTTGAATGCACCATCGCTCGTTCACATTGGCGCATCAGCGTAAGGCAACTATAGACCAGCATGCACATGCATGTTGGCCTGGGTTTCTGAACCCTGGGAATAGTACCTGAACCCTGAATGAGCGATGGCCCGTCCTCCAGCTAGGCTGGTAAATCCAAGAAAGTCAGTCTGGCAACAACTAAACCAGATTTTAGAATGATCTAGGTTGATCCACTTACTTTGCTATACCTTGCGGGTGCTGTGCACGCAAACCGGGGGGGGGAGACATCCGGTGAATACCCACAACTCACAGAATTAGGTACAGATGGTGTTGACCTATGCAACTTAAATTCTCAACAATGAGTAAGCTCCGTTGATCCCTAAGTGCACCACCGCTGTGCCTCTGCTGGCTTTCATTCAAGGAGGGGCAGAATCAAAGCACCATTAGGATCTACAGAGCCTTCAGCTTGTTGCTCTGCGTAATGTCCTGCTCCTGTAGGTGTAGCTGTGTCAATGAATCTACTTTAAACTTCTTGATTCAGTTAGATTGCCTACCCTTTGCCTGCAAATTACATATTGGTGTCCAGGGTTGACATGCCGCGTTTCTGCTCTCATGGAAATAGTAGCGGAGAGCGCGCGAAATTTGCGAGACGTGGAAAAGTTGTTTTGGGCATTAATCTCATCGCCCTGAAGAGCTGTGGTGGATGCACAAAACACTTCTGCATCTGCCTAAAACTCATCCATGCAAAGCAAGTCAGACTGACCCGGGCTCGGGGATCCCTCCAGTTGACGTCACAGAAGTTACGTCAATTAACTTGTCATGTGAAAACCCTGGAACAGGCGCCCCGCGGCCGCGTGACAATTATTGTGGCCGGTCTGACCGGACCGGCCGGCCGCGACGGTCGATGGGCCGGAACCGACGTGCGAACGTACGCCCGCGCGGACGGGGCCGGCCGGACGCGCGGCCGCGCCGATCCAGTACAGATTTAGGAACAGCAGCTGCCGGCCGACAGGACCTCATGAGGACCAGTTCCGCGCTTTCAAGGGACCCCTGTTCATAAGGCTATTGCGAGTCCTGCGGATGTTCCGCGGACGCGGGGTTATCACCAGGATTGGACTAGGATTGGACTAGATTGCCAAGGTGCGAATGAGATGTGAACCTGATTTAAGGGCTAATTTGTTTCTGCGCTCGCACTCGGCGGAGTATTGTCGGTCCCGAGGTTGGAAAGCTCTTCCAGGATAAGCAATGTTGTTATACGTCACTACCCATACCGGCCGCCCTCCCGTGTACAGGCCGTGTGCGCGCTGCCCGCAACACTGTGCCGTGCGCCGCGTTTGTAAATATAGCTAAGACTCGCCTTGAATTCAACAATATGGCCATTATGACGTTCTCGGCGGCGCAATTGGCACAGGCCGCCCGGCCTATAAGCTAGCGTTTGCATTGTGGACTAGTCGAGCCCCGGTCTTTTTTAGTCTCAGCTTTCGAAAGTTCAGATGTCTAAATAATCACTCTCTCGCAATCACATAAGCGACTTTAAAAAGCGCTTGGCTGACCTGCATCATCAGCATAGGTTGATCAAGCGGGCGTCACTGGCAGGCTGCGCACTTTAAACATCATGGCAACCGGGAAACTTCGTTCGTTGAAGAATGAATCCGCGATCTGCGAAGCCTGGGCATCACATGCAGTCGTCAAATCGCCCTACGTGCAATCTTCCTCGCCATGCATTTGTAAGAACTGCATCGGTCGACTCCGTCGAAGCATAGAGCTGGTCTGCGGAATTAAAGCGAGACGTATGGACGTGCGCTTGTTTGGACGCGCGCGATGACGGACTGTCCGGAATGAAAGAGAACGAAAGGACGAGCGGAAGAAGTGCCCGGGTTTCGACTTCGTTGGTCTGAACTGCGCGTTTGAAGATCTGTGCCAATTCGGATCATAACGCTTAAGGAGACAGGTTGCAGTAATGCTAATATGAAGGTGGTCCGTTCAGCTCAATCAATCGTCCAATTGAAAAAGTCTCCACGTTTTGAGGGCAACTAGTAGTGGGCAACCAAATCGAGCACCGGCTATTTGTCGGCTCAGAGAGCCGAACCTATTACTGGCACGGCCGTGGGACCACGACGCATCTCGTCCTTGCCGGTCTCAAAGTGACAAATCATTCACACAATTTGTCAGAAACGCAAAGTTTGCCAAGAAAGCAGAACCACCGTGTGGCCCGATGAAGGGCACAGGGGTTATCGTGATGACGCGGAGCGCCGCTGAAGGCAAAGCGGAAGTGGTGTGGACGCAAGCGAAAGAGTTTGGAATCGTGGGCCGCATGGCGGCAGGCAACCGAAACAGCTCTTCAAATGGCCGGTATATATAAAAAACTGGTGGACGGCAGTCGACATGAACCGGGTGCGCGCAACCTGGATGCGCAGTCTGCTCAAGGTGAGGAGATCAGTATAAAAGGGGGTCGGGCTTCAAAGGTCAACGAATGCTTGGTGCAGAGAGTCGTGTACCAGAAGACATTCCCTCCTTCCCCGCCAAATTCTATGGGCGAAAATTTTGAAGGTGATGTGGTTCGGGGGCGTGAACGTCAAGACTCTTATTTGATTGAACCATAACACTCCGCACACATTGCGCCGCCGTTGATCATTCAGGCTTTCAAGTTTGCATCAAAGAGGCTGGCTCAGGATCACGACCCAACATTGGCTTCTGGCTTTCTAGGGCCAAGCCAACCGACGTCCTTGCCAGACTTCAGGCGGCTCGTCGACGGGGACAGAGGGCAAAAGGCTGCAGTACATGGAAAAATAGATTTCTTGCTTCGGACTTTCAGCAACTTAATGCATTGGGCACACGGCGGCGAAGCCTCGTGTGGTGCAACAGAAAGGAACGCTTTGTGATATCGAATTTATGAGACGTGTTGACGTTTTGCGGCGCTCAGCCAGAGTGCAGACTCCAGAGGACGGAAGAGAAGCAGACGAGTAATTTGCACCTAGCTTGCGGGAATAAATGCAGCCTTATTAGCATGGGTAAGTCAAATAGCAGGATAAAACATTTGTTCGAAGCGAGACATCATATAATAGGCGAGACAGATATCATACATGAATCAGCCAGGTTGACTCGGGCTGTGAAGTGCCTTCGTACGTGGCTCTGTTCACCCAGTTACAAAAGTTCCTTCGTCATTGACAAGCCCGATTCTGGGCCGTTTAAGAGATACTTGTAAGCTTGGATAGAGTAACCAGCAGATTGTAGCCATATGCCTTGCCACCTACATTTGAGACTTTTGATGCAGTCATTTGCACTGAAGTGTCTGGCTCCGGATTACCTATATACCCCTGTTGCCTTGTTTTCTTTCAGGTCCAATTTTACCGACGTCCTTGCCACATCTTTCAGACATTTGTGAGGCCGGACTCGAAGGGCTTTTGGAAACTGTGAGAAGTAGTGGCCGCAACAACACAAGCTTACGCTCCTCAGTCTAGCGGTTGCCTCGGACACATTGCGACCGTCTTTCGTGCCAGTATCGACAAGAACCGGTTTGGTGTTTTGGTGACTACGAGACTTATGCTACAGGAGAGCGGCCGTTGAGAACGTCAAGCAACAAGGAAGCGGCGGCACGCTCGCTATGGAAAGAGTTGGGTTAGCGACGTTCGTGGCATGATTGGCAAAGGACAGTAGCAGGCTACAAATTTAGTTAAGCTTCTAAACGAAAGTACCATTTTAAGCAGCTAGGTTGGCTTGGGGCCCGGATACCGGCCCGGTTACCCAGAGACGGAACATCATGGCTTGCTTCTAGCCAAACACGAAAGTTCTCCCTTGTTGAGCCCGGATTGGGCCGAGGAACGTTCTTATAAAAGACAAACCTGACAATGCCTACAACGAAGCCCTCGCCGGATGTTCCGTTTCCTTCGCTGTTGAGCAATTGAAGCGCCAACAAAGCTAGGAATTGATTGTACAGTTGTCGTCAAAGCGAAGTACACCTGCTGATCATTGAATACTTGCTGCATGGAGGCAAGTGGGTCAGAGAGCAACGGACGCAAAAACAGGTGGCTTCAGTATACTGCAGAAAAACAGGTGAGACAGTTAGATGGCCCACAAGGAGAAGCAGTCTGCGTTGCCACGACCTGAAAGAACTCTAAAGCCTGCGTATCTCTTATTCCCGGCCATGAAAATTGAGCGGAATGACCCGAGTGATGCATGACCGAGGCAAATTACGAGATGCGGCATAAGGAAGCCCAAACTTGAGTGTCCCCGGTCATGTCTGCAACAAAGCAAAGTACGAAGGTGATGTTGTGGTGGCCAAAGTTGTTCGGCGCTTAGCAGAGCATGAACATGCTGCCTGCCCTTCAAATCTGTGGGCAGTTAGGCAATCTATATCTCGTCTTTGCGCTGAGCGTTCTTATGAAACGTACTGGCCACAAAGTTCCGGCTCGGAACGAGACAAGAAAGAAGCTATTGGCAGGCGCACCAAAGCCTGGATCCGCATAGCCGCATTAAGTCTGAGCATGTGCTCAAGTCACAGTTTTGTAAGCGTGGGGCCAGTCTCGCTTCAGTAAACGACGCAGACAGGAAGTGCTTAATATTAATTACGATGACAGCCTGAATACTCCAGAAATAGCAGAGCGGAGTACCTGCTTGTGGGCAAATATGGATGTAGCAACTCGCAATACAAGGGTATTTCAAACTGATATATCGTGATGAACTTCGCAGGGGCGCGACGGCCAGACATTCTCCAGTATCACCGAAATCGTGCGCAAACAATCGAGAGAGGGATTGCGGCCAGCATCCTTCCTCGGCACGGTGCAAAGGAACACAAGATTACAACACGCCGATACGGATGACAATTTGGAGTCAGGATGGGATGCAGCCAGTCTGAGCCCGCAAACGTTTGGGATCTAAATTGCTTGGAGAATATAACTGCGCATGCGAGCGCTGCAATTTCTGGACCTCCGATTAATATTGGCCCATTAGACAGGCCTCGGTGCCAGAAGTAAGTGCTTATAGACAAATGAGGCCCTGCTTATGCTTTCCAGGATTTCAAAGGCCGTTTGATTCAAGTTGGTGTCCGGAGCTACGACCTGAGACATTCTATTCTGCTATAAAGAGTGGCTCGGAATGCTTTTCACTCTCATCTGCGTGAGCGTAAGATGCCTTCTTTGCCACGTGGACGAGCCCGCAAAAGCTGGGCACTGTAACTTGCAGCAGGTTTCCGGCTGCCCTTGAAGCAGCGACAACTAGGTGGGAAACTCATCTGGACGTACTAGCGTAAGACTCACCAATATGACATGAACAAGTGAGAATGCTGAGCACTAGCTGCCGCCCACTCCCTTTCTTCCTTGCTGACAAAAATCTGCAGATTACACTGGCAGCAAAATTTCACTGTGCCTGGGTCAATGTGCGGGGTTAAGCGCAACATCATGACGGGTCTCGCCGTTCCAGGAAAACCGGCACACAGATCAGATTGTCGCCGCGCTAACCGTCAGAAGAACCGGTTCAATTGCCAGGACGGACAGGCCTAGACGGATGATCGAACTCCGCTAATTTGGCGCGTCGAACCGCGACATGCGGACGGAAGAGCAAACGGGCTGGTATGGGCTGGTAAACGAGCTGACGAAAGTGGATATCTACGGAGGGAAGAGAAAGCGGACGGACCGACCTACGGGGGAGATACGTAGCAGATCACAAAAGGACATCCGACAAGATGGATGTGCAGGTGCGGCGGATGAGGACAGATAAATGA